GTTCAGACTTTAGAGTTCGGACATGACTCTAGAATTCAGGATATTCAGATATGACTTTAGACTGTAGTATCTTCCTATATGACTCTAGAGTTCTTCAAGATTCACGTCAGTATTTATCGGCCACTTTTGGCGACTCGTCAAGAGATTTGTGTGCCTTAGTAATCAGTCAGGATGTTATTAAGTGTTCAGTAATGTTATCATGTATTCAGTAATGTTAAATTTTCTCAATGTTCAGATGCCGCCACGTAGGGAACCCGATCATCAGGCTCCTACTCAGGCTACGGTAGTCGCTCAGTTCCGCGACTATCACGCTGAAAAGTTCTCAGGGCGGGGAGATCCCCGCATCGTTGATGAATGGATTCAGGGGTTGGAACTTATCTTTAAGGTTATGGACTGCCCCGATAGGTATCGCGTAGTTTGCGCTCAGCTTCAGCTCACTGGTGATGCTAGGCTCTGGTGGAATGCCTACTAGAGCATGCGTCCCGGTGAAAAAGCGGGTTGTACATGGGACATGCTCAAGGAGCTAGTCCGCGAAAAGTACTACCCATCCTACTATCGGGCAGAGATGGAGCGTCAGTTCTTAGCGCTTCAGCAGGGCACTCGTACTGTTGATGAGTACGAGCGAGAGTTCACTAGACTTGCAGCTTTCGTACCGGACCTGGTTCGCACGGAGGCTCAGAGAGCGCAGCGGTTCATTGACGGGCTTTTCCCAGTAGTCCGTCATAACATCGTGGGACACGGGACTCAGACCTACGCTCGTGCAGTTTCTATCGCCCAGGAGGTGGACGCTAGTATCAGGAGGGAGGTAGTTCGTGATCGTGCCTAGCCATCCGCCCCAGTTCTGCCATTCGCAGCTTCACCAGCTCTACCAGCCCCTCAGCCGACAAAGGAGAAGAAGAGGAAGGGGAAGGGTGCACAGACTGACCGGAGGACTCGGCAGAGACAGCAGCCGATTCCACCGTGCCCGACTTGCGGACGACTTCATCGAGGAGAGTGCCATGTGGGTCAGGATATCTGCTACTACTGCCACGAGCCGGGACATTTTGCGAGTCGCTGTCCGAAGAGACTTCAGCAGCAGCCTCAGCAGCCTCAGCAGCAACCACAGCAGCAGCAGCCACGTCAGCAGGCACAGAGGCCGCCTCAGCAGCAGCAGTAGAGGGACAGACAGCAGGCCAGGGTTTACGCAGTTGATCAGGTAGAGGCAGCACAGCAGCCAGGTACTATGTCAGGGATGGTTGTTCTCAATGATATTCTTGTTTTCGCTTTGTTCGATACTGGAGCGACACATACTTTCATTTCACGACGATGTCTCGATGCCATCGGAGTTCACGCCGTTACCGCTGTCGATCCTCTCTAGGTGAGTTTAGCCTCGGGACGAAAGATAGTAACTTCAGCTAAAGCTTCAGATCGTAGCCTTTCCATCGGTGGCCGATTATTGACTGCCGACGCGTTTGTTCTCGAGATGAGGGACTTCGACCTTATTCTCGGAATGGATTGGCTATCCTTCTATCATGCAGACATCAGGTGTCATGACCGAGAAATCACTCTCTATCTTCCTGGAGATGAATCGATCACTTTCTTCGGTTCCAGGAATCGTTCACTGCCTCATGTTGTTTCGATGGCGAAAGCCACTAAATTACTGCGACGAGGCAACTGACAGGGTTATCTGGTTAGCCTTGTCGATGATTCTCAGAAAGCGCGAACACCTCATGATGCTCCAATCGTTCGCGAGTTTGTGGACGTGTTCCCAGACGAGCTTCCAGGAGGACCGCCCAACCGCCAGGTGGAGTTCTCTATCGATCTCATCCCAGGGGCCGGTCCAGTATCCAAAGCCCCGTATCGTATGGCGCCTAAGGCGTTGCAGGAGCTTAAGACCCAGATTCAGGAGCTATTACGACTCGGTTTCATCCGACCGAGCGTGTCACCATGGGGAGCACTCGTTCTCTTCGTTAAGAAGAAGGACGGATCCATGCGCATGTGTATCGACTACCGGGATCTTAACCGGTTGACGATCAAAAACAAGTACCCGCTTCCCAGGATTGACGACTTGTTTGATCAGTTGAGGGGAGCCTGTGTGTTCTCAAAGATTGATTTACGATCAGGCTACCACCAGCTGAAGATTAAGGAGTCAGATATCGCTAAGACCGCTTTCAGGACTCGTTACGGCCATTTCGAGTTCGTCGTCATGCCTTTCGGTCTCAGCAATGCGCCAGCAGTTTTCATGGACCTCATGAACCGTATTTTCCATCCCTACCTCGATCAGTTCGTTATTTTCTTTATTGACGATATTCTTATTTACTCGAAGAGCCAGAAGGAGCACGAGGAGCATCTGAGGGTGGTTCTCGAAACCCTCAGATGAGAAAAGTTGTTTGCAAAATTCTCCAAATGCGAGTTCTGGCTTCAGCGAGTATCCTTTCTGGGTCATGTGATTACACAGGCAGGTATCGAGGTGGATCCTTCCAAGGTCTCAGCCGTTCAGAACTGGTCGACACCGAGGAGTCCGTCCGAGGTTCGCAGTTTTCTCGGTTTAGCTGGTTATTACCGCAGGTTCATCGAGGGCTTTTCCAAGATCGCCCTCCCTCTTTCCCAGCTGACGAGGAAGTCTGTGAAGTTCGAGTGGACTGATCGATGTGAGGCGAGCTTTCAGGAGCTCAAGATGAGGTTAACTTCAGCACCGGTGTTGGCTATTCCTGATCCTTCTCGGAGTTTCACTATCTTCAGCGATGCTTCGAGACAGGGCTTGGGATGTGTCCTTATGCAGGACGGCCAGGTCGTTGCGTATGCTTCACGTCAGCTTAAACCGCATGAGCAGAACTATCCGACGCACGACTTGGAGTTAGCAGCAGTCGTTCATGCTCTCAAGATCTGGCGACATTATCTTTACGGCGGACGTTGCGAGATTTTCACAGATCATAAGAGCCTGCAGTACATCTTTACGCAGAAGGAGCTTAATATGAGGCAGCACCGTTGGCTTGAGCTTGTCAAGGATTATGATTGTTCTATTCAGTATGATCCGGGAAAGGCGAACGTCGTCGCAGATGCTCTAAGCCGAAAGGTGAAGGGTGACTTGACGTACGTCATTACGCAGCAGAGTTCGTTGATTCATGAGTTTGCCCGGATGCAACTTCAGGCGATCGATGCACTTCCCATCGCTGTCTCGGGGAGTACCAGTGCCAGTGTCAGTGCTATGCAGCTTCCGCCAACGCTGAGACAAAGAATCCGGCGAGAGCAGGCTTCTGACGAGTTTGTTCGTGTCATGGAGGCCAAGGTTCGCTCCGGAGGCGTCGAGGGTTTTCAGCTAGGTGCCGATGGTGCCTTAGAGTTCAGAGGCAGGATCGTGGTCCCGAAGGTCGAGGAGTTGCGGAAGGAGATTTTATCAGAGGCACATACTGCACCCTATTTGGCCCATCCCGGGAGCACGAAGATGTATCACGACCTGAAAGGATCGTTCTGGTGGCGAGGCATGAAGAAGGACGTCGCCGAGTTCGTAAGGAGATGTCTTACCTGTCAGCAAGTCAAAGCCGAACATCAGAGTCCGATTGGCCTCCTGCAACCACTACCGATTCCGAGGTGGAAGTGGGAGGAAGTCACGATGGATTTCGTCACGGGATTGCCGAGGTCGTCTGAACATCACGACGCTATCTGGGTCGTGGTCGACAGATTGACTAAGGTCGCGCATTTCTTACCCGTGTCGATGAAGATGTCTCTGGACAAGTTGGCGGAGATAAATACCCGTGGAATCATCCGGCTCCACGGAGTGCCCGTTACGATCGTATCAGACAGAGATCCCAGATTCGTCAGTCGATTCTGGCACAGTTTACATGAGGCGATGGGCACGAAGCTAGAGTTCAGTTCAGCCTACCATCCGGAGACGGACGATCAGTCAGAGCGGACTATTCAGACACTTGAGGATATGCTTCGTGCTTTGGTTGTTGACAGGGGTGCTAAGTGGGAGTCACTGTTGCCGTGCGCCGAGTTCGCGTATAACAAAAGCTATCATTCTTCCATTCAGATGGCTCCTTACGAGGCACTTTATGGTCGCAAGTGTCGTTCCCCTCTCTATTGGGACGACGTCGGAGAGCGGCGAGTACTCGGTCCTAAGATGATCTAGGAGACAGCGGAGCAGGTCGAGTTGATCCGGCAGAGACTCAGGACAGCTCAGAGTCGACAGAAATCTTCCGCCGATCATCATCGACGAGACATTCAGTTCGAGGTTGGCGAGCCAGCCTTTCTCAGAGTTCGTCCGATTCGTGGAGTTGTACGATTTGGAAAGAGAGGGAAGCTGCACCCTCGTTTCATCGGTCCGTTCGAGGTTCTCGAACGAGTAGGCGAGGTCGCGTATCGATTAGCCCTACCTCCCGAGTTATCAGGCATTCATAATGTATTCCACGCATCTATGTTGCGTAAGTACGTGTGCGACCCCGATCATGTCATTCCTCTCACAGATATTCAGGTTCAGCCAGATCTATCGTACGAGGAGTGACCGGTGGCTGTACAAGACCGTCAGGTCCGTCGGCTCCGGAAGCGAGATATTCCCCTCGTGCGTATTCAGTGGGATCGCCACGGAGCTACTTGGGAGGAGAAGTCCGATATTCGCGCCCGTTTCCCAGATTTTCAGTTTTGATATACATATTTTTCTATCTTATGTACATAGTTCTTGTATTATCAGTCATGTTTTGAATTTCCGAGGACGAAAATTTTGTAAGGAGGTAGGATTGTAATATCCCGTTATTTTATCAGTATAAATTATGTTGTTAGTTCCGATATAATAATGTTGTCGAATTATTATTTTCGGAATTAATCATTTTCAGTCGAGACTACCGAAATTTATTTTCGACGTACCGTTTACGTCCGGAATAATTTTGATAATTAAGCATTATGTTTAATTAAAGAATTAAATATATATTAGTGATTAATTGTTAATTAATCACACTTAAGTGGCATAAGCCGTGACTTAGGCGATTTTGTCCAAATTTCAGCAACAAAACCGAAGCATTCTTCATCATTTGGGAAGTCAAATTTTCCTCTCTTTTTGGCACAAAAACGTGGCATTATATGGAGGTGTTTAGTCATCAAAATTCACCAACTTAGTAGCAATTGGATGGCTCAAGAGGAAGCCACGTCCTACCCGCGTCATCACCCAAACTTTTCTCCCTCTCTGTCGGTTAGTATATGAAGGTGCGTTTGGTCCGATTTTCCCCATTTTCCCTATATTATTTCAGTACCAAAAAGTTCAGAGTTCAGAGGGTGGGAGAAATTAGCAAATTGTTCAAACTTTTCCATACTCCAAGCTTAGCAATTAGCACTGCACCGCACGACAAACTGCGGCACACAGACAAGCACACGAGGGGCTAAGAAATCGTGTCTTTCTTGCGACTTTCGATCAAGATTGTGAGAAGGTAAGACAAGATTACTTCTGATTCATCATGGTAGTGATGAGTTAGTTCTGTTTTGTTGAAGTCTCGGCCCAGTTGGCCGTGTATGTCCGTGAGTGTCCGTGTGTGTGTGTCCGCGGTTAGATTTTTTTATGTCGAGTCATCTTGATTATTTCAGAAATTCTTTGATCAGATAGGCCCTATTTAGTTGAGTTATATGATTAAATGTTCAGTTATGTTGGTTGCTTGATAATTGTCGTGTTGATTGGAAGTCCGGCCGAGAGGGTGGTCGCGCACATCGCGCGTCCACGGGCCGAACATAGCATTAGATTATGTCAAGGAGTAACCATCAGGTGTTTATGTCTATTTATTCGTTAAAGGAGTATACTATGATCAGTCATGTGTGTTTGGCCGAGAGGTAAGTCAAGAGGGTCGAAAGGCGGCCTATTGCCGTCGGCGGCGCACGGTGCGCTCGCCACGGTCCCTTTCATGTTGATCGTGCGAAAAGTGATAATTTCAAGTTATTTTCATAAACATGCTCATATTAAGTCGTATCATGTGGTTTGATGTCGTGGTTGCCGAAGGTATTCACCAAATGGCTGGTGAATGCCGGTTATGGACGTGCTGCCGCACATAGCGGCAGCAGCGTGGGCTGCCAGTGTATGCGCCTGCCCGCGAGCTGCGGCACTTAGCCACTCGCGGTAGCAGCCAGCGCTTAGTAATGCGTACGCCGGACGTCCAGCAGTCCAGTACGCGTTCAGTGGTCGCATGCAGCGTCGCCAGTGCATGCCTGCGACTCGGTAACGCCCCGCGGCACCGCAGCAACGCGTGATGCGGAAGTGGAGATCGGGCCCGGAGAACACGAGGGTTGGACTGGCGTGGCCGATGGGCAAATGGGCGAGAGACGCGCATCGGGTGGTGATGCGCGGGCGTTGGGCGTGTACGCAGGCAGAGTCCTCGTCCGCATAGGAAAGACGGACACTCGACGGCACGCGCGCGGAAGGATCGATTGGAACCGAGCGCACAAGAAAGCGCACGGGTGTAGCAAGGCGGCGCGCCCTAATGCCGCGAGGACTAGGAAAGGCGCGCTGGCGGCTGGGACTAGGCGGTGTGTGAGGCGGCCGAGAAGAAAGAGAGAGAGGATTACTTGGTGTGCAAGACAAGAGATTTAGTTTCCAACTAGCTTTATATTTTCTAGCTTAATTAGGATTTCTAATATTTTATTGCTTTAATAATTCCGTAGGTAGATTAGGACTAGATATATTTTGTGCCTATATAAAGGCCCCTTCCCTCATGTTATTTTCATCATTGAAGAATTAATAAGAACTCAAGAACTTTTGTTCATCCTCTTTGCTTTAGATTTTCACCAAAATTCTATAGCAATTATATCGTTTAGAGGGGTGCGGTTTGTGAACCTCTAGGCAACTATCGGCGATTCAAGGCACTGGTTTGTGGCATATCGGCAGTCGAAACACACGATCCTCATCATTGGTGCTTTCATTGAGAGGTGTTGATCGTGTGTTTTTCTTCTACCCCTTTCCCTTTCTTTTTCTCTTCTTTTTCGTCACCCCTATCAAAAAAAAAAAATCTTTTTCTATTTTTTGAGAGAGCCGTGAGGTTTGATTATCAAAAAAAAAAAATATAAATATCATCATCATCAACACGAGTCCACGAAGCAAAGAACGCAAGCAAGAGAAGAAAGCCATGGCCAACAAGGAGATGAAGGACAAAATTGACAATCTTGACGTTCAGATGCGAAGTATGAGCGAGGTTATGGAAGGAAGGTTTGGATCGCTCGAGAACAACACCAACGCTGCAGTCACGCGACTTGAGCAGCGACTGGAGGAAGTCTTGCGGGCATTCCAGCAGCAACAACCACGACAGTTCAACGCACCTCCAAGGCGCGAGCATCTCAGACACGCCGATCACGAACAACGCCAGGAGCGCGATCGAGAAGAGGACCGTGAGCAGCGACGCGAGGAGCGAGATCAAGAGGAGGACTTCGACCGGCGATCCCAGGCGTCCAACGACTATGACCGGCCGAAGCCCGTCAAACCACAACTAACGCTGTCCACCTTCACCGGCACAGATCCTGACGCATGGCTCAACCGAGCTGTGCAATATTTCGAGCTTAATGAGACCGATGGGAATGACCGTGTAAGGTATGCTGCTTACTATCTTGATGGGGAAGCCAACGTATGGTGGCAATGGCTTGTGAGCAGCTACCAAGGCAACCCGCTCCACATCCGATGGGAAGAATTCGAGCGCGAATTACTTGCTCGATTTGGGTCATCGGACTATCACAGCTATGACGAGGCGCTCTCACGCATCAAGCAGATAGGGAGTCTTCGGGACTACATGAAAGAGTTCGAGCGACTCGCCTGTCGGGTGCGCAATTGGCCGATCTCTGCGCTCATCGGGACTTTCATAGGAGGTCTCAAATTCGAGCTAGCCGCAGAAGTAAGGCATGACCGACCACGGACTATGCGCGAGGCCATGGAATCTGCGCGAAGGAGGGATGAACACTTATCGGCCACACGGAGGATCGGGCGAGAGGGTATGCGTAGCTTGGAGCAACGGCGCACGGACCAGCACTTGAACGAGCGCACAATCATAGACAACGCACCATCAAACGTGAGCGACGTCCAGTCTAACCCAAGACTACCGAACAACTTTCGAACGCCACCTCCGAATGTT